ATGGATGGGTATCCGATTGCAAGGACAGGGATGCTTCGCCCTACATAGCATCATGCGGTCTCTCGGCGATCTTGGATCCTTTTCCTTAATGAAGAGGTGGAGAGAGGCGAAAGTTTCATAAATATCTTGAGCATTAAGTTCGCTTATCTCGTTTGGGAATTGAGGAGCAATGCTGCAGGTGCTATAGCATGGCAGCAAAACTCAAAGTAGGTACTTGCATTCTGCAAGTACTTGCTTTGGGGTTCACTGTACGAATTCAATATTGACCTTTCAATTGTTTTAATTAGGCTTTTACCCGCTGCGCAAGCAAAGTTACTAAATAGCAGAATGCTGGTGTCAGTGAACATCCTCGAGGTAGCACTAAAGCCGTGAAATCTTCCCACTGGCCGAATATCATCGGCCCTATTACCTAAGGAGAGATAGAATTTTTTAAAAGGAAAGTGAAATTTGCTTTCAGTACTTTCAGAACTTTCAGTAACAACCATTTTCCGAGAAGGCACGAGCAGAGACTGACCGGGGAAAAAGCATCGACGGCGGTCTCCGATTGGATTCCGCGTGGAATCATTATTTTCCGTACTTCCAATCTGACATTTTTTTCGTGAATATTGGTCACTGACTGATGTTATGGACAAACACACCGGGGAAAATACTGCCGGTTCCTTTCAGTAGTTTTTGGGAAGTAGTCAACGAGCTGGAAAATATGATTCTGTTTCGCGTTGTCTAGTAGAAATATTTTGGGGGCCCGTACAAGGGCATATTGATCTGCTCGGTCGTGTAACGCGAACAAATTTACTGGAAAGCCAAAGAAACATTAGCATAAATGTACTATTTCACTTCCATTATGAGTCGGTTTACCCAAGTCCGATGTTGTGCACCGACCGCCTCCCTTCTCGACCTATGAACTTCCGTGAGAAGTATAGGAGGGGGGGGGGGGGGGGGGGGGGGGGGGTTTGTAGACCTATGAACTTCCGTGAGAAGTATAGGGGGGGGGGGGGGGGGGAAGAGCGAGATGATTCCTTTTTATTCATGTACATAGCTCATGCAGAGTTGCCTCAATACCTGCGAAAAAATGCAAAGCCGCCGATAATCGCTTTTCTTCTATTCTTTTCCGTATTCCTTTTTCCCGACTGCATATCTGCACACATTGTACCAATATAAAAATACTTTTCCCTTTATCAAAAGGGAATTTCAGCATGTAAATCGCAGAAATGCAAACAAGTTATACCGCATAAATCATCGATGCAATGTATCCGGGATGGCACTGAATCTATGCATTGAGTCTGAGGGAGAAAAGAGAGAATATCCTGCTGAAGGCAGGGAAAGGGTACAGCGACCGACATCCACCTTCCCGTGGCATCCAGTTCCTCCATTGCCTGCATAGGATGGAGGTCAAGGGATGAGACCATCCAGGCCATCGAGTGGGTCGCCTCGCTATTGCCGCCCCTTTTGAGAGATCCTTGGGTGTTCGGGTTCACTACTAGTCTGAGTACGGTTGGTCAGCATTTGAAGCAAATTGCGGTCCTGCAGCAACGTCTGACCACCAGCAGAGCGTAAAGCAGAAACTTTTTTGCTGTAAAACAGGAGTTTTTCATTGAGATGCAGCAGCGAGAATCTGATTCATGCCCTTCATGCATGTGTGACTCTCCCGATAAGTGCTCTAGTTTTTTTCCTGATGAAAGTGCATTGCGCAATCAACTGAAGATGCCTGCGACTGCGACAAGACCACCCGGAGGAAAGTGAACACTTCCCAAAGGTATGCCAGATGCGACCCGGTCGGCATAGGCGTGGGATGTAAAAAAAATCGATTTTCTCCAATCTCCATGCTTATTGAATGCCGACTGTGGGCAACCCTGCCCGACACTACCAAGCGCATTTCAGAGTGGGTTGCCGTATTGCTCAGTTTGATCTCATACCAAGGTCGATTGAACGTTTCGGCATAAACCAATCTGCCTCGCGTGATTGTTTTATATTAATGAGGATCTTCCATTTCCGCCGAATTTTCGATACTACGGCAAAGAAATTAGCAGGAAATCCATCAGTCTTCATGGAACTATGGCATATGCGGTGAAAATAGCGGGAGCGCGAAATGAGACCCAAATTCGGACAAATTCCTTTAGATATTGAACATCTATCGTAAATTTTCATTTCAAAGTCGCTCACAATTCCCCTATGGAAAGAAAAGAAACAAGAATTAAATGATCCTCAATATTACGGCCATATTAGATAAATTGGACTCCTGCAATAAGCATTTTCCAGATGAGTAGGCTATCCAGACCATCCTTTCCTTAAAACGGAACAGATTGGAAAATTTTCTAGCTATAAAACTTCAATAATCAGGCAAACGGTCGCAAACGTAGCTTAATCACTAGACTGGACGTGCAGCGGACAAAGACGCCAACAATGCACAGAGGGAAGGGGGAGACCGCTTGGCATGCAACCGAATCACAATCTCTCAGGCTGGAACAACCCTTGACTCTCCTATGGGAGGCCAAAAGGATAGCTCATGGGTTGCCTAGGCCCACGACTGGCACGAGTGGACACCGATTGGTTTGTTGCGTTTGAGGATAGGTTTCGTTCACGCGTCAATTGTTTTCGTTATTGGCCCTAACGGGAGCAGGAAGCTTTGCGGTCTCGGTCCTGCTGCCAAGGATATATAAATATTTTAATTTGCACCTTCAACGGTGAATCACCCAACGCTTTTCAGAATGAGAACAGAGATAGCTTCAGTTGCAACATTTTTCGCCATTGCACATATTTAAATAGGAATAATGTTCCGGGGCTATTCCGCTCAAGAGAACGAACAGCACCAATGCCACTCCTATGGGCTACGCCAAAAATCCCATCCAGCACGAATCCCAAGACCTTATCCCCAAGCGCAGAACCTCTGACGGCACCATCCGAGAGGTCACGTCTCCACGAAGGGCCCGCGCCCTTGCGATAGCTCCACGAACGGGTGCTTTCCCGGAGTCGGACCGCCCGCGCAAGGATGGTGTCGCACCTTGCCTCCCTCCTGCTCAGTCTCCGACAGCTTCCTATTGTGAGTGCTTGCTCCCGCCGCTTTGGGAGTCCATCCGCCTGCAGTTGCCTCATCGAAGTAAGCGGAGAAGACGATCCCCGAATTGCTTCTTGTATTGATAGTTTGCCTATTCGACCTTCGTCGGGTCTCACGGTCGGCCATCTGAAAATTATTCCACATTTCGATTTCAATTTAATTGGTCCGCTTCCGGTTTGTTACCACCGGGTGAATATTTCAGTAATTTTTTTCGAAAATTTTGTGCAAATGCTGATATAGAATGTTGCATCTCTCCAGAGTTTGGAACGATGAAATCTCTTTTGGAACAGTGGGATGGGAGAAAGGGGGGGGGAAGGGTAAAGTAAAATCCCCGTAGAACATGCACCGGTAATTGGAACTCATGGCAATTTAACTAATTCGAAAAGTCGAAGCAGATCGGAGAAAAGTTAAGAAGGAAACATTTTAGCACGTTTAATATCGCCATTACGTACCCTATAGAGATTTCAAACAAAAGCTAACCCAAGAGACTGATAGACCGTAAAAAATATATGCGTCCGTCACGGTGCAACAAAAATATTAGGCAAAAAAAAATTTCCGAGGATTATCGCTACGGCCAGGAAACAGATTCAATATGTATCACAACGCACTTTTTGTGCAACTGTTGAATATGCGGCATTACTAGATTCGAAATCGTTTTTGAATGTTCTTGGTTGAAGGGATTTACTGGCACTTGTGATGATTCAGAGCAATTTACTGTTACCGAGTAGGGCTCTATCCACCTGAAATGAGGGTGGAATCCCATCCGGGAATTTGCGGTTATCAAGGGCAAGAGATTACGCGTCGGTTTTTTCGTTGAACTTCCTAATTCCAGAGGGGGGAACCGATTCGAGTTGCGAAAGCCAATGTGTAACTGAATTTATTTTTCCTTCGCTCGAACGCGAGAAACGCGTCGGGCGATGTTCAGGGAAAGCTCGTGCGCCTTCATGGACGAAACCAGGAGTCAATGACGAAACCTGGTGTCATTGACGAAACTAGGACTCGTGGCTGTAACGAGGGAACCTCTTATGAGGAGGAAAGTGAAAGACAAAGTCTGCTCGAGGAAGGATGAGCGGGCCTGATGATAGGTGAGGTCACGATACGGCGGAATGATGGGGAATGATGGTTCCCACATTTTGGGACATTCACCCCCAAGTGCTGTGGAATTTCCTGCGAAACAATCGGGATGGCATGGGATCAGAGAAATTCCGACAATTTGGCATGGTATCAGAATGCCATAGCAATATCGAGCATGGTCCTGACGTCATGGAACGAGCATGGTCCCATAAACTTCCAAAGAGTATTAGACCTTCCAATATTACCCAAGTTTATTCTAGTTCCCAGGAACAAGCCCCTCTTAAGAATTTTTTTCTTCGTTTTTCAAAATTTCATACGCAACCTTATTACAAGCTACAGAAAATTCGATGTTTTGCACCTCACTGGCACGCCCAGTTCTTCCAACTAATTCGCTAACTGCAATACAGAACTCGCCAATGAATGAATCTGAGCAAAGGAAGTACCAAACCAAGTTCAGTTTTAAGGACTTTCTCAAAGATACAATTTGGATATCTAACTTCTTCTTGAAATCAGCTAAGATAAAAACAGCATATGCATCTGAATGCATCCAAGGGAAGTCCCATGGAAGAGGAACTGCTCACTGCTATGCATTATTGTGTAGGATACCCACCTTTGTGCTACGTGGGACAGTTTGAAATGTACGACAGTGTGGGATATTTAACAGGAGCCGCAGGGCCAATCCTCTCCTCACGAGGCCTTAAAGCCATCAGCTTCTGCTCTACCATAGCAAGGAGCGCAAAGAGAGACAGAGATGTCCCCCAACGACAACAGCAAGACGGAGCCGAAGGAGGACATCCAGGAGACAGGGAGACTCTACGAGTACGAGCCCGAGCCCCAAGAGCATGGAAACGTTGGTACGGGCCCCACGGACAAGGTCTACGAGAAGCAATACGTCTGGAGGAACATCTACATCTTCTCGATGTTCCACATCGGAGCCGTGTATGGCCTCTACCTAGCATTCACTCGGGCATCGTGGACCACCTTCGTGTTTGGTATATAAAAATATTCTCTTCATCGACTAAAAGGGTTGACTCCACTTTTACTAACTAAAGTAAACGTTTAAATATAAATTTTCCATTAAGTAAGCTTTTCCTACTTTACCCCTTTTTGAAAATTTGGAACTTTCCATCCTTCTTTCATTTTCAAAATTCCGCATCCATCTTGAAGGAATCATTGTGGGCATATCATCTGCGCTCGGAATAACGGCAGGAGCTCATCGTCTTTGGTGTCATAGGGCCTACAAGGCGAAATTTCCCTTTCGCCTCCTCCTGGCATTCCTAGACACCATGGACATTCAAGTAAGGACCGAGCATTCGTGGTACCACAATGGTGAACGAGCGCTTCGCGGCAAAACGAAATTCCATTCCAGAATTCCATCTACGTGTGGAGTCGGGACCATCGAGTGCACCATAAGTTCAGCGAGACCGACGCCGATCCACACAACGCGAAGAGAGGCTTCTTCTTCGCTCACATGGGATGGCTTCTGGTCAGGAAGCATCCGGAAGTGATGAGGAAGGGCAAAACCATTGACTTCAGCGATCTCCTGGAGGATCCCATCGTTTACTACCAAAGGAAGTCCGTATGAAATGATCCTATCTTCTGATGGCTTTGCAGCTTTTTCTATCCTTACATTCTTTTATATTTCCCTGTTTGCACACATCAACTTATGATTATGTTTAGTCAATTCAAGCCGTATCCAGTCGTTAACAGCTTAACAGCCGCATTAACCTACATTTATGTGCTTTAGTCTGTTTCCAGAAAGGATAACATTGACCTACATTAGTGGGGACGCGTGATATACAGCTGTGATATGGAGCAGTACTAGTTGGCCAGTGGAACACGATCACGAGCCACTTCTGGTTAATATATTAGTTAACCTATGAGTGAGACTTACGCATAAGTTGCATAAATATGACACGAATGGGGGGGATGGGAGTCGCACGATAGGCATGAGCATTAATTGTGAAACACTATTGAAGCATTCGTGCTTATATGTATAGCACAGGAAGAATTTCACCCAATATTTCACATTGATTTATTTTTAGGGAAAAGTTAAAATGAGATGTGGTTGGTTCACTTAATTACCATGTGCCATATTTATTAACTAACTCGTAGATATCTTTACGTTTGTAAATAAAATCCCATATTAACATTTTTTGTTGCACATGATTTTTCTCGGCTTCTCAGATTCTACGTGCCGCTGGCGATACTGTGCTGCTTCGTCATTCCGGCCGCGACACCGTGGTATTTTTGGGGGGAGGACCTGTGGGTCGCCTTCTGGTACTGCTCCATCGGGCGCTATATCCTGTTCCTTCACGGGACGTTCTTGGTGAACAGTGCCGCTCACCTCTGGGGACAGAAGCCGTATGACAAGTGAGGCAGTTAAAAAAACCTCATTCTTTCCGGACTTTCAGATATTTGTTGGAAAGAACCGAAAAATGATGAAAATCCGATTATAAATAATTGTTTCATAAAATACCAAATACTAACCGTCCCGTGGAAGACTATCACGAACTTTTGGGTACGGCCTTTGACCGAGGCATCGTACTGCCGGCCGGACTCACAAATCCAATTCAATTGTGGCCGACCTGCGAAGACCTTCCCGATAGTTGGTTTTGGGAAATGTAGTCGTTTTCAACCTGATAGCAATTGAAACAAGGGTGGGAAATTTGTCAATGTGGACCCAACCACCCCTGAAAGGTTCCCTCTGACCCCAGCTCAATTAAGTATGCCACCACGGTCCGAGACTAAGCGTGCGACATTCTCGGGAATTCAGGAGTTCTGTCAGCGGCCCCATCAGCTCTCAACTCAACAGCCGCTCGGACATCGTACGTCTTGCGCATTCCCCCCCCCCCATCCCCCCCCCCCCCCCCCTCCCCTCCTTATCCAAGTGCTTTTCACGCCGACGATACGGACGCTTCATTTAGCGGCTGTTTTACCCAGTGTCGATCACGACCCCGCGCACATCATCCATAAAGTTCATATACACTGCTTCTACACCACACTAGCGACCATATTCTATTCAAGCCCGAGCATTCCCAATACCTTTAGTTGTCTCGAAACGGAGAGGTAGAAACTGAAAATTTCAACGCAAAGATACATGCATAGATGCATATTTACAGAAAAAACTCTTATTTCGAGGCATTTCCTTTGTATAGATGGCAAAAATGACGCACATAATACCACTCGGTACGATCATTTTCATACGTTAAATATATCTGTTTGCTAGTTTGCCAATGACGTCACATTACAAGAGGTAATCTGATGGAGAAATGTAAATATCTGTGGACCCGGATGGTTTAACCAGATACATTAAATCATATCCTTCAAGTCAATTGATTTCATCTTAGATAACACAGCGCCGAAGGCTCCACCAAAGGGACTTTGTTTCCCCAAAAGGGCGAACAAACACCCATCGATGTTATTGAAAGGTATGAGAAAAGACTTTTCCAAGAGCAGGTGCTCCTTCTTCCATTGGAAGCAAAATAATAATATTTTCCCCAATATTTCCCCGGGCTCTTAATTGCACAGATTTTTTCCCCAGTCAGTAAAACGCTTTCCAATCTGAGTCTTTGCTCGATCCACCGCGAGAAAAAAATGAAATGGCGAAATCATAAAACAATTATTATAAAATCGTAACATAATGAACTTTAAAATTAGCAAGCTTTCTTGAACTTATTGAAATTACTGAAATTTAAAATGACAAGAAATTAAAATTGATAAAAAAAATATTAATTAATACGAATTCATCATTAGTAAAATTAAGTGAACAAGCGTAGATCTACCATGAAATATATGAAACTCTAGGAACATCGGACCGGTGGAGCAACCCATCGTGGGAGGCCTGGCGTTCGGCGAGGGCTGGCACAACTACCACCATGTCTTCCCCTGGGACTACAAGACGTCGGAGCTACCCTGGTACCACGTGAACCTGACAACAATGTTGATCGACGCGGCCGCCTACCTGGGCCAGGCCTACGACCTGAAGACGGTCGACCCGGAGGTGGTGGAGAAACGGGTGAAGCGGACCGGCGACGGCTCTCACTTCAGGTGGGGGGACACGGTCAAACAGCAGGAACGGGAAAAACAGGAGCGGGAACGGTCAGAAGCTCAACAGACGACCACCTTTGCCAAACTCCTCAAGATCCACTGAATTATTCGTCGAAGGGCCTAAGAGGTCTTCGAGTCGCGAGTGACCATCCGCAGAATATGTCTGGAAATTAATATTTTCATTTTGTCTCTTCACATTTAAATTAATCTTCACAGATGCTTCACAGATGAAGATACACGCGAAGTCTTCCCGGACTTCTGCCATTTTCAGCAATAGCCACCAGTGGCTGGACGATGTACAGGGTGTCCCATGAGTCCCTTTACCCGTGAACCTTTTCCTAGTAGAACAGGGTAGCAAAATAAAACTCATGGAATTAGTTATTTATTTAGACTGTATTTACATTCATTGTGACATTTAAAAGCACTTGCTTGACAACGTAAAGGGGTTTTGGTTACTCATATATTCTTCATCTTGCAAATACTTAATAAAATTCACCAAAAAAAATCATGAGAGGAAGGGGACCCATGTGGCACCTTCTACATTCATTGACATTGACAAGTGCGCCTGTATTGACATTGACATTGACTAGTGCCACTCCTTTACTGCTGGCCCGCTTTGAATCACCTCCTGTACTTCAAGAACCAGGGAATGGATATTGTCATAACCTTGCATGCATGTGCTCATTTAATGCATTAGTCAACCCACAAAGGCGCACAGCGATAGCCTGAATCAATTACGAGTGGTTACAAATTGAATGTTTAAAAAATGGGGAATAGGTATAAAACATATGGAATAAGTGAATAATAGGGGTGCAATATTTTTCGCTATCAAATATGCTTAAATAGGAATATTATGTCTTCCTGCTTAGTGGCTACTTCCCTCAAGAGAATAAACGGATGCAATTCTCCTATGGGCTGAGTAAAAAAGTCCAATACTACGGGAATTCCAAGATCTGTACCCCCGGTGTAGAACATATGACTACACCATTCGGGAGGTCGCGTCTGGTGGAATATTTGTATCTATTGCACTGTTTTTGTAGGGGATGTTTTATAAAAGTTTGCTTCAGGGAAACGGATTTTTATGTAGGACTGGGATGAACGAATTTAAAGAAAATCTGAAGTTTGTCGTGCGCACTCCCAGGGAATATATTTTGCTTGCAAAAACTTTTCTGAATTTTTTTTCCAGTTCTCAGAATTTTTAGAGGTTATTTGTTTAATGGGGAGAGTGAGTAAACTCAGAGGCATAATTTCGCTTAGATAAAGCTGGTTCTAATAGTCCTACTATGGAAAGCTTTGTATTGAGGATGAACTCTAAGATGACAGTTCTGGGGCTATGATAAATCTCTGATTCATGTTCCTAACATCAGATTGAAAATCATTTCATACAAGCAGAAGTAGTTTAAACTCACGATAAGAATCCAAACGATGCAAGGAGTTTTACCAAATTAGTAGTTGAAACGATAAAAGGATGTATTGTTAATATTTTATGCAGTGAACCGCGCCGAAGGCGCGTTCAGAGCGTGTTTCTTTGCCCGAAGGGCAACAAATTCGCTAGTATTTACCTAGGTATTGGGTGGCGAATAAAAAAACGCTCCACAGTTTTTTATGGGAGAAACTTAGTTTCATAAGTTCAGCAAAAAAAATTGCATTGGATACGCAATCGATACTTGACAATTATAAGGCGCTCAAATGCTTGCCAGCTTTTTTTCAGCACCCTTCCCGAAGTAGTGCAATGCCAATTTAGAGGTGAATTGAAAGTGTTTCGAGGTGGATCATTCCACCACAAGTGAGGTGGATTACTTTGAAAAAGACAACAATTAAAGTTTAATGTACTTCTTAAAAACAAAGTTTACGAATAAAAGTACTGGAACTTTTCGATCAGACCTCGTATACTGTAGAGACAGAGAGAGAGATTCATGCTCAGGGGCTATTCCGCTCAAGGGAATGAACGGCACCGATGCAATTTCAATGGGCGGAGCCAAAAATCCCATCCAGCACGAATCCCAAGGCCCAAACCCCTTGTGAAGCACATCTGACGACACCATCCGAAAGGTCACGTCTCCTCGAAGGGCCCGCGCCCTTGCGATAGCTCCAGGAACGGGTGCTTCCCCGGAGTCGGACCGCCCGCGCAAGGATGGTGTCGCACCTTGCCTCCTTCCCGTTCAGTCTCCGACCTCTTGCTATTGTGAGTGCCTGCTCCCGCCGCTTTGGGAGTCCATCCGCCTGCAGTTGCCTCGTCGAAGTAAGCGAATAAGACGATCCCCGAATTGCTTCTTGGTGCTTGCCTATTTGACCTTCGTCGAGTCTCTCGGTCGGCCATCTGAACAGCGGCAGGACGATTTCTCTCAAATGTATTCCATTTTTCGATTTCAATTTAATTGGTCCGCTTCCGGTTTGTTACCACCGGGTGAACAGACCTTCAGAGCATTTCAGCAATTTTTCTTCGCAAATTTTGTGCAACTGCTGATACAGAAAGCTGCATCTCTCCAGAATTTAGAACCATGAAATCCCGTATGGGGCCGGGGGAAGAGAGGAAAGGAGGGGGGGGGGGGAGGGAATTTTGGCTGCTGCATCAAAAACCCCCTTAGAACATGCACAGGTAATTCATGGCCTTTTAACTAATTCGAAAAGTCGAAGCAGATCCGAAAAAAGTTAGGAATAAAACTTTTTAGTGCGTTTAATGCCGTCTCTATGTAACAATGACATATTTCAAAAGCTCTCCCTTGGGACCTATAGAGCGCAAAAAATATATGCGTCAGTCACGAGTCTCATCGTATGCAAATGCACCGAAAATAATAGGCGAAAACGTTTACAGTGGATTATCGTTATGCCCGAGAAACAGATTCAACGTGCATCACGATTCACTTAGAAAGCTATTTCCCTTAACTTCCGGGAGAGAATGAACAGCGGATATCCCGATCCGCTTGAATTTTTCGATCGGTGCGACGGACGAGGGGGGCGAGGATGGAGCGAGGAGCGGCTGGGGAGGGGGTGTCGGTTGAGGTCGGGGGGGTCGCGGAGGACGCCGACCGCTCTCGAGTCTGCGTTACTCAATTAGGTCAAGGACTTGCAGGGAGAGAAAAAAATTATTAGGAAAACGGGTTCGGGAGCCGAAGGCGATCCGAGCTTTCGGTCGAGCGGAGAGAGAAAAAAAAAAGGGATTCTCGTGGTTTCATAAGAGTGAAAGTGCATATCCGCGCCGAGACCATCATGGCGATGAGCCTGTGTTAGCTCGAGGGAGGCAACCCTGGCGAAATCTTGAGTTATGATTCAGTACCTGCGCCATTCCGAGTTTCGCAATCGATTTGGAAGGTTCTTCATCCAAGGGATTTGCTGAGGCTAAATGAAGCAGATACGGCGAACTGTTACCGAATAGGGCTCTATCCGTCAGAAACAGGGGGGGGAATCCCATCCGGGAATTTGCGGTCATCAAGAGCACGGATCACGCGGTCTGTTTTTTTGATTCAACTCGCTTATTGCAACGGAGGGGGGAGAAGGTGGGAGGGAACCGGTTCGAGTTGCGCAAGTGGGTCAAAAGTAACTGATTTTTTTTTCCTTCGCACGAACGGTTGAAACCGGTCGGGCGATGATCAAGAAGAGCTCGCGTGCCTTCATGGATGAAACCAGGAAATTACTGCCGTAAAGAGGCGACCTCTTGCGAGAAAAGTGCGAGATAAAGTCGGCTCGAGCAAGAATGAGCGTGCCTGATGATGGGTGAGGTCGCGACACGGCGGAATGATGGGGAATGACGGGGAATGACGGGGAATGACGGGGAATGATGGGGAATGACGGGGAATGACGGGGAATGACGGGGAATGACGGGGAATGACGGGGAATGACGGGGAATGACGGGGAATGACGGGGAATGACGGGGAATGACGGGGAATGACGGGGAATGATGGCTCCCACATGTTGGGACATGTACTTCCAGGTGCAGCGGAATTTTCTGCGAAACAATCGAATTGGCATGACAATTTGGCACGGCATCGGACTGGCATGGCAACATTGCTCATGAAGCCATCAGCGGACACTTGAGATCGGTCGAGCTCACGGAATCGACCCTCACCCTGCCGGATTCCCCTTAGAAAAGGGAAGTTTCGAGGATCGGCTCGGATCCGAAATGCAGTTGAACGCTCGAGGCACGGCCAATGCCCACCCGTGAAATGTGCATCCTAGAGCATCGGCGTCCCTGGGACCATTTGGGGCGGTGTTTAGCGAATTTGCTCGAGTGGCTTAATAGTTTTAATCGCGAATTCGTCGATCCTGAATACGATTGGAAATCGAGGTCTATGGGACCTACGGGCACATAAAGGCACACAATGATCCATAAAAGCAGCCGAAGTCTTCTTTAGACCTCTCAAAGATCAATATAAATCATGGCCGTACCGATGTATCGGCCACCGACGTTGCACTATCGGCCATCAGCCGATGGCGCCGGTGCCCAAAGGGCGGACCAAGCGAAAAAAAAAGTGAAAACGGTTTGGCGCCGGTCCTCCAGTCTCTTTGAAAGCCACCCCTGCCAGCCTCTCTCAGACAAATAATATCGATCGGATCATATAGCAAAATATCGATGGGATCGTAGAAACCGACAGTGGATAAAGAAGGCAAGTCATTGCGTCTCCAACAACGTCATGCTTTTTGCAAGGGATCTGTCGCGCCAAATGCTCGCGACAGCAGCAATGGACGAGGACAGACGGGCTGGAAAAGGACGAAAAGTGATCTCTGTCATTTCAAGGCGGACTACCGATAAGTATCGCATTGGCTTCCGATTGGGCCTATTTGAATTTATGGGCGATTTCTTCTACAGGCCGCAATTGACGCCGACACCGGCCGATGGTCGTGAGGTGAATGTCGGCCATCGACCCGCCGGCCAAATGCGGCCAACAGTACCGTCCGAATTTAAATAAATAAATATGTATGATGGATACATATAAATATAACAAGGATACCAGAATGTGCGAAGCCTCAACGGTCGGCTCGAAGTCCTCGATTGAATTTTCCTTTCGATTTTCGTGGCCCTGGAACACGGTCAACCAGAACCAGAATGGTGGACAGCCGGTTCTGAGACAATGAAGACATTATCTCGGAGGAAAACCAATTGGTCGGGAAGCCGATAACAGGCAGCGCGAGCGCGGCCGAGGAGTCCGATTCCCACGGTACTCGGCGGTACTCGGAGGTACTCGGCGGTACTCGGGGGTACTCGGCGGTACTCGGGGGTACTCCGGGGTACTCGGCGGTACTCGGGGGGTACTCGCCGGTTCATCTTTCGCATTTCACCCGGGGAATGCCTCGTTGCCCCATCGACGCGGCCGAGTAACGAGGAAGCATGCCGAGGGAGCTTACCCGCATAGCTCCACCCGAGGGAGCATACCCGCATAGCTCGTCGCATTATTATCTCCTTTTTTTTCTACGGCTTCCAGGATGTAAAGAAAGGAAACCCTCCGCGAGCTGCCCATTCCCCCCGTCTGAGACCTAGCGAGACCGGCGCGAGAGTGGGCCGATGGAAGCGGGCCGATGGAAGTGGGCCGCCCTCGGTCGATTCTCTCTCCTGACCTACCTCCTGCGTTCCACGCCGATCCGGCGACCCGCTCAGGCCTCTATCGACCATCCATTCACGTCTACCCGACACGATTCCCTTGTTCCATGCGAGCTTCGTTTTTTTTTCACATTTTCGTGCGCAGCCTCATTGCAAACGTTCAGGAAAAAAAGTTTTCAACTCTATTACACTTCATTGACGAACGCCCAGCCGTTGCGACTTATTCGAGGATTACGATACAGAACTCGTCTATGAATGAGTCTGAACAAAAGAAATAGCGAACTTTCAAGGACGTTCCTGTTGGATATCGATTGGATGAAACTTTTCCTGGTCTTGAGCCACGATAAATACGGAGCATCTGCGTCTGAGGGTACCCAAGGAAAGTCCCACAGGACAGGAAAAATGTATGACCTCCGACATTCTGGGATGTAAGACTTTGTAGGATGTTTAACAGGAGCCCTAGGGCTAACCCTCTCCTCCCGAGCCTTCAAAGCCTTCAACCTCTGCTCTACCGTAGCAAGGAGCGCAGACAGAGAGAGAGAGAGAGAAAGATGTCCCCCAACAACAATAATAACAGCAAGACGGAGCTGAAGGAGGACATCCAGGAGACAGGAAGACTCTACGAGCACGAGCCCGAACCCCAAGAGCATGGGAACGTCGGCACGGGCCCCACGGACAAGGTCTACGAGAAGCAGTACGTCTGGAGGAACATCTACATCTTCTCGATGTTCCACATCGGAGCCGTATATGGCCTCTACCTTGGGTTCACTCGGGCATCGTGGACCACCTTTGTCTTCGGTATGTAACAATATTCTCTTCATCGATTAAAAGTGTTGATTCCACTGTTACTAACTAGAGTAAACGTTTAAAGATAAATTTTCCATTAAGTCAGCTTTTCCTCCTTTACCCCTTTTTGAAAGTTTCGAACTTCCTCCGTCCTTATTTCCTTCTCGATCTTCCGCATCCATCTTAAAGGAATCATTGTGGGCATATCATCAGCGCTCGGAGTAACGGCAGGAGCTCATCGCCTTTGGTGTCATAGGGCCTACAAGGCGAAATTTCCTTTCCGCCTCCTCCTGGCATTCCTAGACACCATGGACATTCAAGTAAGGACCGAGCTTTCGTGGTACCCCGATGGTGAACGAGCTCTTCACGACAAAACGAAATTCCATTGCAGAATTCCATCTACGTGTGGAGTCGGGACCACCGATTGCACCACAAGTTCAGCGAGACCGACGCCGATCCACACAACGCGAAGAGAGGCTTCTTCTTCGCTCACATGGGATGGCTCCTGGTCAGGAAGCATCCGGAGGTGATGAGGAAGGGCAAAACCATCGACTGCAGCGACCTCCTGGAGGATCCCATCGTCTACTACCAGAGGAAGTCCGTGTGAAACGATACCATCTGTCTTTGTAGCTCATCCTATGCAATAATTTCTTACAAATTTTAGGTTCGGCCGTCAACGGCTTAATCTCCGTATTAACCTTGATCTATGTGTTAGGCTATTTCCTGGTAGGTTGACATCGCCTTGCATCAGCGGGTGCTCGCGATCCGCAGCTGTGATTAGCAGAAGCACTAGCTCGCCAATGGAATACGATCACGAGCCAACACTGGTTAACGTATAGGTTAATCTGCGTGTGAGATTTAGGTTGCATTTTTCCTGGGATTCCCTGGCGGGCACATATGTTATGCATGTGAAACGAATGGGGAGGGGATGCAATAGGCATGTGAATTAAAGGTTGTAGCGTTTGCGCTTATATGTAAAGCACAGGAAAATTTTCCCTCGGTACTTCACGGGCATTTATGCTAAGAAAAAGCTAAAATGGTTCCAGGTAGGATCACTAAAATACCATGGGTCACATCCATTAATTAACACATGCATGTTAGCGCGTGTAAATAGTCACATATTAGCATTTTTTGTGCTGCAACTGATTTCCCTCGACTTTTCAGATACTATCTGCCGCTGGGGATACTGTGCTGCTTCGTCATCCCGGCCGTGACCGCGTGGTACTTTTTGGGGGAGGACCTGTGGGTCGCCTTCTGGTACTGCTCCATCGGCCGCTACGTCTTATTCATTCACGGGACATGGCTGGTGAACAGTGCCGCTCACCTCTGGGGAGAGAAGCCGTATGACAAGTGAGGCACCAAAATTTTTTTTTCAGTACTGGGGGATATTCCTTGGGTGAAAATATGATCATACTGCTCTCTCTAGGAGCATTGGACCGGTGGAGCAACCCATCGTGGGAGGCCTGGCGTTCGGCGAGGGCTGGCACAACTACCACCATGTCTTCCCCTGGGACTACAAGACGTCGGAGCTGCCGTGGTATCACGTGAACCTGACGACGATGCTCATCGACGCGGCCGCTTACCTGGGCCAGGTCTACGATCGCAAGACGGTCGACCCGAGGGTGGTGGAGCGGCGGGTGAAGCGGACCGGTGACGGGACTCACTTCAGATGGGGGGACAAGGCCAAACTGCAGGAAGAGGGAAAAATAGGAACGGGAACGACATGAACGGGAACGGTCGGGCGCTCAACCGACGACCAGCGTTGCCAAATTCCTCAGATTCGCTGAAGAATTCTTCAAGAAGGCTTGCGACTTCGTCGAGTCGCGTGTGATCGTTGGCTGAATGTGTCTGGAAATATATTGATTTTGTCTCTTGACATTTAAATTGATCATCACAGTTTTTTCACAGATGAAGAGACACGCGAACTTTTCCAGACTACTGGAATTTTCAGCTATAGCCATCAGTGGCTGGACGATGCACGTGATGTACGTGATGAATGTAATGTACGTGATGTACGTGGTGAACGTAATTTACGTAATGTACGTGATGTTTATGATGAATGATATTCCTCATTATTCGTTCATGTTTGACGGTCATTCTTTGTCACTGAGAAGATTGAGTGGGAAGTCCTGCTTGCTCGTGGTATCATTCATATTCATCATTCGTCTTCATTCTTCCTGCGGGATTCTCGATCATTCATCATTCATATCACTTTGCATCCTTCAAAATCTTGTTAAATTGCGGTTTTGTTCATCCGTGATTATTAAAACTTTTTCATTAAATTGCCGGGTTGGAATAAATTTCTCTCCCTCTCTCTCTCTCTCCTTCAGTTTGATTCTGCAAAAGTCGATATTCCAGATGTTTCATCTCGAACGGAGATGAATGCGTACCGGAGCGCTTCGTGGAAAATTTTTCTACAAATAAATTTTAAACATAAATTATCATTTGAAGGGAAGTGGCGAGAGCGCATCACGGGACCGAGTCCCCCCCCCGCCCCCCCTAGTCCCGCCCCCCCTAGTCCCGACGATTCGGAAACTCGCGGAAAGAAAACGTTTTCCCTTCGACGGCTGCCTTGCATCCGCTGGAGACCTCCCTCCTTCGCCGGCCGGCGAGCGAATGGATGCATGAGCGGCTGGGCCTGCTTTTATAGCCAGCCGTTTTGCTGACGTCATTGGACGCGCGAGATCGGGTTCTCCCTCTTTCGGTCTGGCGGCAGCACCGGTCAGCAACCTGTTCTTTCCTCATGCGTTATGGGCTTAATCCTCGGGGCTCATGGGCTTAATCCTCGGGGCTTATGGGCTTAATCCTCGGGGCTCATGGGCTTGATCCTCGAGGGCTTTTCATGCAAGAAAAAAAGTTCATACCGATTCCTTCGACGGTAAAATCAGGCTGGAGGGGAGGGATATCACTTTCATGACATGCTGGACAACTGTAGTGACATTCCTGACATTCTTGACATTCTTGACATTCCTGAATGCAATTCAAAGACAGGGGATTGCCCTTCGACACGGGGGAAAGATAGTCTGCCAGCATGAGCACTTTCACGAGCCACCAAATACCCGAATTTGCTATTGCAAAGTTGACCGATGAATGGCTGCCTCCTGCAAAAACGTGAATTTCGCGGACGAACTGCAAGAAGGCGCATTCGATTCTCGTACCTAATGACTCAAACAGCGAGGGCGCCACCATCGCAACCTTGCCAAAAAAAATCGAGATCAACGTACAAGAGAGATCGATATTGATCGAACGATCTTAAAAAAAGCCGTTTCGTCACGTGACGCGCCTCTCGGTCACGTGACCCGCCGTTTCGTCACGTGACCCGCCATTTCGTCACGAGTACCCAGTACTCTCTTCCTTTCGTCCCACACATTCCGAAAGTGACAGTTGACATTACATCACCCGGATTTTTGTCTGCACTGTTCTCGGAGCCGAGCAATATTGCACAATCGACTCAATCGCCACAACGGCTCAATCCGCCTGGAATGATCCTCCTTGCGCGGAATTTGTCAATTACCAACAGATTTAATTTAGTTGCATGTTATGGGAAGTTTTTCGATGCAAAAATTGCGAACATTTCAGAAACAATTCAGCCTGCGAGTCTTGGCGAAAATGAGACAGCGCGCCGATGGATTCGCGAGGCGGTGACGCGCGGCGCGCCTGGCGATCCGCCAGGCGAACCTGAAGGTTCCGTCAGTCGGAAAGAAAAAAAAATTATCGGTGCCGGCTCGACCGTTTGGTCGAGGGAGGCGGAGCGATCACATAGGGAATGACGGAGTTTTCCGGGTCACCTCGCTTGGGCCGTGTGAGATCCAAGAAGTCTGAGTGTTGGAATCTCTGAATGTTTGAATCTTTGAGTGTTGGAATCTCTGAATGTTTGAATCTTTGAGTGTTGGAATCTCTGAATGTTTGAATCTTTGAGTGTTTGAATCTTTGAGTGTTTGAATCTTTGAGTGTTTGAATCTTTGAGTGTTTGAATCTTTGAGTGTTTGAATCTTTGAGTGTTTGAATCTTTGAGTGTTTGAATCTGAGTCCTCGCCCGGACCCGTTATGAGCGGCAGGTAACGAACGGGACCCAGATGGATTTTTCAGTCCGGAAATGCATGAAATTCCGGTTCCGGAAATTCCGTGGCGAAACCTTTCTAATGCCTCCCTACCACAATCCCCGGGCCGGCGCGCACGGAATTCTGTCACGCCGACGCCGTCACGCCGAAACGGGACGGGGCCGGCTCGCGGAAGTGCTCCCCGAGAAAGTGTCCCCGGGAAGGGCTGATGAGAAAGGACGGGGGCTGATGAGAAAGGGCGAAGCTGATGAGCCTTGCAGTCGCTCTCGGTCGTCCGTCCGTCCTGGTTTCCCTTGGTGAGTCATTTCCAAAAATTTTTTTTTTTTTGCAATGAGAATTTTATTTTTTCAAAAATTTTTTCCCCTTAATTTCGAAAATCTCAGAATTTTTCTTGAGCCTTTCGATGATCATAAAAGAAATTGATTAATATATTTAATTGTCATAAATAATTTTTTATCTCATTTAACACAGTTTCCTTTTTCGTTTTGTCAGTTAAACCTGGACTGGTTACCCATCAATTTATCATTGCCCATAACCCATCAATGATTTACCCATCAATTCATCGAGCTATCAATTCCCTCAATAGAGTGCAACGCGTACTTCCATCGACGACCAGCGTTTTTTAACATAAAATTTCAATATCGGCAAATTTTCGAAATTTTGACCCGAGTTTGTTTGTGAGGCCAATACTGGTTGTTGCGCATCGCGGGACTAAAATTATCCCCCTGGGACTAAAATTATCCCCCAGGGACTAAAATTATCCCCCTGGAACTAAAATTATCTCCGGATCCCATGAGACGCGAGAAAAGTTTTAATATACATATTTATGGTCGCTGCCGGCGATAAACAAGAGGTGGATCTTACGAGGGGAAGCTGGTTCTTGATTGACATCGTGCCGGGAGTACTGAAGTACTCAATAGGTACTTCGGAGTTCGAGGAACCCCGGGGTCGGATTTCACTGACTTAAATTATCATAAATGAGAGATTTTTTTATTCGTTATGTCCTCCTAACGGAGACATTCCGCACGCGTAACGCAACAGTTGCCACAACGATTGCCACAACAGTTGCCACAACAGCCTGCAAGCAACGATACCCGCATCCGGAGCGACCAGTGCAACGCGATGCAACCGACCTGCCGCCGCTGCGACCGTACGGCGACTCCGGCGACCATTTATTCTGAAAGACAAATTAGGTCAACAGCTCGCGTGATTTTTTTTTTGCCTCTTGATTTTTATTGAAGAACATGCAAAATCTTGAATGAATTTTAGCAATCGACTTTAAAAAAAAAACTACGGCACTTTCAATAGCAAAAACCTCTTAGAACGCGAAATTCGGCCAGGTCCATACTCGATCATGACCTCAACGTTTTGCAAGCGCCGCACTCTCGAGAAAGCTAAACCGTAGGAAAATACAGTGGGATCCAATTGCCCTCGACTCTCCTCGATAGTCGTGGATTGGATAGCGAGAGGCATCGTCGAGCCAGACGGAGCCGAGTTCCACTTTCAGGCCGTGAAGTTGGGTTGGAGTCTGGGTTTCGGGCCGGGACTTGAGTCGGGCCCATCGGGTAGGAAATCGGCCCGTGCAGGACTCTACGGGGGGAGCAGCGTAGTGGTGAACATTTTGACAGCTTATGAGTCATCCAGGGTTGAAGATATTTCAAATCTGATTACACGGCACACACCTACTGACCACAAGCTTTCGCACGATACACAAATGCCAGGGTATCTATTGGCATAACGCCGCTTAGAAACATACATTACCGTAATATACAGGGTGGGACAAAAGTTACTTCTTGTATACTGGAAGCTATTTTTTGTGATTTGGTCCTCTTTGTTTCACAGTAATGCTGCTGGATGAAGCCGATAGCTTTTGAAATTATGTTGCTCGATCATTTTTCTGTGTTATTTATGTTTTTGTTCTAAACAACAGTTAACATGACGTAAGAAATTAGCCTGTGTTCTACGTTCAACAACCAAATAGCGACTTTTGCCTCACCCTGTATATATGGATTTTTAACGAACCCTCATCCCCAACGCGCCCATGCATCCATAAGATCCAACATGTCCATCACCAATTTTATGACATCCTCAACGAAACGTCCTCAGTTACTGACTTCATCATCCTCCCCCCCCCCCCCCCCCCCCCCCCCCCCC